TCCTCCACCTCGGCCACGGTGCCGTCGGCGTGCACGTGGAAGCCCAGCTGGCCCAGCCCGTTGCGCCGCAGCGTCATGTCCACCGTGTCGCAGCCCGACGTCGTCGCCTGGGGGGGACACCATGGGGGGGACACGGGGGGGACATGTAAAATGGCCTTTTTGGCCATTTGGGGGATGGTGGGGTCTCCTCTGGTTTGGCTCTTCCCTCATTTTGGCCACACCCCCATTTTGGGCCCCTCCTCCGTTTTGACGCCTTCCTCATTTTGAGGCCCTCGCCCATTTCAGTCCCTCCCCTGTTTTGGCTCCTCCTCAATTTTATGCCCCTCCCTCATTTTGGGCCTCTTCTCCGTTTTGGGCCCTCCTCAATTTTGGGCCCCTCCCCCATTTTGGGCCCCTCCTCAATTTTGGGCCCCTCCCTCAGTTTGGGCCCCTCCTCTGTTTTGGCCCCTCCTCTGTTTTGGCCTCTCCCTCATTTTTGACCCCTCCCCATTTTCCCACCCCTCTCCCATTTTTGACCCCTCCCCATTTTCCACGCCTCTCCATTTCTGCCCTCCCCTTCTTCCACCCCTCCTCATTTTTGAGCCCTTCCCATTTTGGACCCTCCCCATCTCTGACCCCTCCCCATTTCTGCCCTCCCCCTCTTCCACCCCTCCCCATCTCTGACCCCTCCCCACCTCTGTCCCCTCCCCTTTTTTGGTTCTCACCCTGAGCCTCTGCACGATGTCCTTGACCTGTTCAGCGCCGCCATCCCCGGGCTGGACGCGCAGGCTGACGTGGTCCCCGCGGCCGTGGTAGATCCTCAGGGCGGCCCCGTCGGCGCTCCAGCCGATCACGTCGCCGGTGAAGCAGTTGAACACGACCTCCTTGGCGCCCAGGTCCAGCAGCACCACGAACTCGTTGGAGATGCCCAGGGCGCAGGGCACCTCGGCCCCCCGCCCGAAATCCTGGGCGCCGACGCGCCAGGCGATGGCCCCGGCGCTCTCCCGCTCGGCGCCCGCCCGCGCCTTCGCCTTCTCCTTCTTCTTGGAGGCCAAGGAGATGAGGTTGAACTTGCCGGCGGAGTCCACGGGCGTGTTGGTGACGTAGTTCTCGGCCAGGTCCTTGAGGTACTCCTGGCGCGTGCGGGTGGCCATGGTGTGGAACTTGTCCGACTTGTGGGCGGCGTTCTCGGCGTTGATGGCCTTGGCCAGCAGGAAGTCGCGGAAGAGCTCGGACTTGCGGAAGGTGACGCCGGGCGGGATGGGGGGGCCGAAGGGGGGGACGTCCTTGGAGCGGGTGACGGCCACGCTGCGGGCGGGGGAGAGGGTGGGAGTGAGGGAGGGGGGTTCCGGGTGGGATTTAGAGGGGGCGGGAAGAGCGTTGGGTTCGTCCAATGGTTGGGATCCTTCCTTGGGGGCAGCCGAGCTCTGGGGTCATCCCACCACCTTTGGGATCACCCAACTCTTGGGTTCATCCAACTCCTGGGATCAGCCAACCACCTCTGGGGTCATCCCACCACCTTTGGGGTCACCCAACTCTTGGGATCACCCAACTCTTGGGATCATCCAACTTCTGGGACCACCCAATCACCTCTGGGGTCATCCCACCACCTTTGGGATCACCCAACTTCTGGGACCACCCAACTACCTCTAGGGTCAGCCAGTCACCTTTAGGATCACCCAGTTCTTGGGTTCATTCAATCACCTTTGGGATCATCCAACTTCTGGGACCACCCAACCAACTTCTGGGGTCAGCCAACCACCTTTGGGATCATCCAGCTCTTGGGATCACCCAACTTCTGGGACCACCCAATCAACTTCCGGGGTCATCCCACCACCTTTGGGATCACCCAACTCTTGGGTTCATCCAACTCTTGGGATCATCCAAATTCTGGGACCACCCAATCACCTCTTGGGTTCATCCAACCACCTTTGGGATCACCCAACTCTTTAATTCATCCAACCACCCTTGGGATCACCCAACTCTTGGGTTCATCCAACCACCTTTGGGATCACCCAGTCCTTGGGATCATCCAACCACTGACTCAACACTCAACATCGAACCCGTGTCCCTCAATGGCTGCAAAAACCCTCCAGGAACAGCGACCCCAACGCAGGGAACGATCCCAAAATCCCACTCTCAAACCCTCCAGGAACAGTGACCCCAATGCAGGGAACGATCCCAAAATCCCACTCTCAAACCCTCCAGGAACGGCGACCCCAACGCAGGGAACGATCCCAAAATCCCCCTCAAGCCCCCCCAGAGCTGCAGGACTTGTTCTCCCGACCCTTCCCCGCCTCTTCCAGCCACAATTCCAGCCCCTCGGGGGCTTTTCGGTGCCCTGACCCGCCCGCGGTGGTCGGGGTTGATCCTTTCCCGAGCCCTGTATCCAAGTGGCTCCGGAATTGCGGAGCTCCTGACCTGTAGGAGACGCTGTCGGTGCAGGGGTGGTGGGCCCTGACGATGATGAAGACGTGCTGGAAGTGGGAGCGGATGTTCTGGGGGGTGAAGGGCAGCGCTCCGGGCTCTTGGAAGATGATGGTGACGATGTCGTTGCCGATGTGTCTCTTCCGGAGCAGCTGGGAAAGGGAAAAAACCGCCCGGAATGGAGGGGTTGGAGCATCCAGCCCTCGGGATCACCCGGGCTCTGGGATCCTCCAGCTGCCTTGGGGATCACCCAATCCTTGGGATCGTCCAACTTTGGGATCATCCGACCACCTTTGGGATCATCCAACTTTGGGATCACCTGACCACCTCTGGGATCACCCAACCCTTGGGATCATCCAACTTCGGGATGACCTGACCACCTTTGGGATCATCCACCTTTGGGATCATCCAACCACCTTTGGGATCATCCAACCCTTGGGATCGTCCAACTTTGGGATCACCCGACCACCTTTGGGATCATCCAACCCTTGGGATCACCCGACCACCTTTTTGGGCTCACTCAACCCTTGGGATTGTCCAACTTTGGGATCACCTGACCACCTTTGGGATCACCCAACCCTTGGGATCGTCCAACTTCGGGATGACCTGACCACCTTTGGGATCATCCACCTTTGGGATCATCCAACCACCTTTGGGATCACCCAACCCTTGGGATCAGCCAACCCTTGGGATCACCCAAGCTCTGGGATCCTGCCCCACCGCAGGGAAGGGTTGGTGGTACCTGCTGTCGGTTGTTGGGGGTGTAGGGCAGCATGGTGGACACGTGGAACATGATCTCATAGTCCTGGTAGGTGGTGTAGAGCGAGTGGGTGCCCGTGGAGTCGGCTACGGAGAGCAGGAAAAGCCACTGAGGGGGATCTGGGGACACCGCGGGCCCCTCGGAGCCCCGGCGGATCCCCCGGGATGATCCCGGCACTCACTCTTGGTGTCCAACTGCGCCGCGTACTTGCTGAAGGATTTGAGGGAAACCTTCTCCCCCAGGAGCTCCAGGAACTCCTCGAGGGCCGGCCCGGCCTCCTCGTTGTTGTACATCTCCTCCTCCGAGCTCTGCCCGGCCTTGCAGTACAGAATTCCCACCTTGTGCCGCCGGCACAGCTGCGGGAAGAGCGGGAGTCAATCCCGGAGGAGCCCCTTCCTCACCCAGGAGCCCCCATCCCAAAAAAAATAAAGGCACCCCCACCCCCTGCTCGTCCAGCTTGAGGAGCTGCTCGGTGACTTTGGGGGTGCTGAGGGCCAGGCGCAGGCAGTGGATGTTGAGCTCGGGAATGACGTATTCCAGGGTGTCCCGCAGCGGGAGACCCCGAACGGTGCCGGGTTTGCTGGTGGTGGGAGTGGCGTCCTCCAGGATGGACCCGCGGAGAGTCACCAGCTGGGAACGGAACGGGGAACAGGGAAGGGAACAGGGAAGGGAACGGGGAAGGGAACGGGGAAGGGAACGGGGAAGGGAACGGGGAAAGAAACAGGGAAGGGAAGAGGGAAGGGAAGAGGGAAGGGAACAGGGAAAGAAACAGGGAAAGAAACAGGGAAGGGAAGAGGGAAGGGAAGAGGGAAGGGAAGAGGGAAGGGAA